ATTATCTACTCTTGATTTTACATGTACATATTATTGTTCATTTTTTAAAAGATGCAATTTTTGCGTCATCTTATAATGCACGTATGTACATGTATTCATGTAATACATATAGGAAAATTGGAAGTATCCGGAGTATCCTTTGGCAAGAATAAAGAAGATAATGAGAATGGATGAAGATGTACAGGTATATGTACATTATAGAGAGTTGCTCTTATTTATAAAATAATGCGCCTGCTTTGTAGATGATAAGTGGCGAAGTCCCGATAATATTTTCGAAAGCCATTGAGCTTTTTGTATCGGAGCTAACCCTGAGGGCGTGGATATACACTGAGGAGACGAAAAGAAGGACTATACAGGTAGAAAAATTAGTATCATGAAGGCTACTATATGATCTTTCTCTCTCTCTCTCTTCTTTCTTTTATTAGCGTAGTGACATAGCAATGGCTATAGCTAAGAATGACATGTTTGATTTTCTGATTGACATTGTACCTAGAGAAGAAATACATGTACACTCGCGTTCAAGATCACACCACAAAGCAAGTTTAATATTATTATTGTACTGTTAGTATACTATTAGGATATTATTGGTATACCCCTGGGTTTTCACAAACCATGTTAAAAATTTATAAAAATTCTAATTTTGATTCCAATTAGCTGAAAATTTCTACACAGCATTAGAACATGTATATGTATTAGAAAATATTAATATTATAAAAATGGAGAATTGTCTCCTTTTCAATTTGTCAAAATTTGGCCCGAGACTGTGTACTATACAGTACAGGAACTTTTACCTGATCTTGAAGTAACTTTAAAAAATTACTGACAAGAAGCTGAGGACTATGCCAAGATCCTCTGGGAAATGTTGGTATATTCTTTGTCTATATGTAGGATTCTTTATCTAACGTGACAGAGCCTCAATCATCTGCTCTTTCTCTCAATCCTGACGTACTACAAACTTACTTGCAGCTAATGTCGCAGCAGCTGGAACAGGACAATAGAGACGAGGACAATGAAAGTGAAGGAGTTAGTTCGGCCACTTCACAGGTATTGCAACAGGTGAGCCATTCATCATTACTGTTAGGAGGAGAAGTATTAAATATATAAGTATAAACATTCTTTCTTTCTTTCTTATTGTAGTTACAAGTGATTCAGCAATTGACTCAAACTGGGCAACAAACGACTCAAGAGGAACCAAATCCACTTCCTCCTCCTCCTCCTTCATCTGCTTCTGCTCCTCTTTCTCATCCTCCTCCTCTCACTAGTGTCCCAGTGTCTTCTACTCATGATACACCACCACCACCACCTGCTCTGATACCATCAGACAATATACAGCAAGAACAGCAGCAGGTAAGATCCAATTTATTATCTAACCTTGAAGAGTTTTGGGTAAGCATCGCAGCATTAATTCAATCCTCTTCTCTTATTCACATCTCTCTCTCTCTCTGATTTTGTAACTTGTATACTTAAAATCTCTTTGCTTTCCTCTTTCTTTCCCTCTTCATTATGGTAGGATGCACAAGTTCTACCTGCTCCTCTAACTTCTCTACCTCAGTTGATCCCGTCCACAGATTCTTCCATACTAGTACCTTCTAGTCATTCAAATGATGAATTGCTAGTTCAACCAGGTATAGCCAGATCATCCTTTCCCCCTCTCTTTTTTCTGTCGTCTATTATTAATCATTAATTATTTAGAAGTCTTGCACTATTCTTCACACGAGCACTCCGCCGCTGACATTAATAATTTGTTATCTTCAAACCCAATTGACTCCATTCCTGTTACCACGTCTCAGTTCTTCAACGTAGCTCCTCTACCTCCTCCTCTCTCTTCCTCTATTGCTCAGTCGCAAGTTGTTTCTCAAGGTATTGCTACTAAATTTAAGACACCACTTGGAAAGTTTGAGCTAAAAATGTCTGTCTGTAAAATTGTACCAATTAACTATAGCTCCAACTTTCTGTGTACTGTCTGTTTTTGCAGAAAATTTGTTGTAGGATTTATAATTTTTAAAAATTTTCTTCTTTGTTGTTTCAGATCAGAACCAATATCAAGATCAAGGCTTAGCTCAATATTCATCATCAGATAATCACTTTTAAGAGTCAGAGGCATATTCACAATTGCAAGTACATTCAAGTTCTCCCATTTTTGTGGGCAATATTTAACTACAACTGAACTTAATGCCAAAAGACATTTTTATCCTTGAAACTATAATATAAATACTAAATACTAAATAGATATGAATATATATTATACAAGAATTTACATTACAGGTATTAATGATTCTTGCCCCCTCTCTCTCTCTTCAGTTCTTCTTAATGACAAATACAAGTGCAGAGCTTTCATTGTGGTACGGCATGTCAGGCATCTCGATTAACTTGCAATTGCATTCATCTATAACCTTTTCCCATTCCTTCTCGGTCAAGGTGTAAAGGTCTTTCTTGACTGTCGTTATAAAATAGCCACCTTTCTTGAGAACACGGATTAAATTAGGTAGACAGCTTGGCCCACAGTGAGACTTTGAAAATACTCCAGAGCTTACGATGCTGTCGAAGAAACCCTCTTCATAAGGTAGCTCGGCCTTCAAGTCGATGACTTTCAAGTCTTGATATATCCCCTTTTGCTTCGCTTCTTCAAGCATCCCTGGGCTATAGTCGCCTCCATAAAGCTCGACATTATCTAGGGAGACGACAGTGTTTACTTGCTGCCCAAGCAAGCCCGTACCACAGCCGGCATCAAGTATCCTAGGGCGCCTTCCTTCTGGTATGTCCTGACTGCAATATTGGCTCCATTTTGAAAGGACGCTGTTGAATCCAATATAATTCAGTTTTGTTCCTATCAGCTCGTCGTATTTTGAAGCCCATTTGTTGTAACTATCAGGGCCTCCATCTTTCCTCACGGCTCGGACGAGCTCCATAGCTTCTTCTACCAATGCCATTATTTCCTTGTAGATACTTGTTAGACTAATTCAGACAACCAACAGCAAACCTAACAAAAAACTTAGACAGAAGTCAAGTTTAATTAAGTCAAGGGTCACAATGACTATTGTCAGTACACGTGGGGAAAAAGGTCACCTGTTGTAGTAATTAATGACAAAAGAAACTGAGAAAAGTAAACTCATGATTGCTTGAGGTCACAGAGCTCATGCTATCTTCATGCACTAAGGTACTCATTAAAAGACTTGTGCAACAATAAACTTTTAAATTTATAAATAAAATTCTAACGGTATCTATCATTATCTAACACAGAACTTCAGTTAGTCTAATTGTTTTTCTTGATAACAAGACTTATTCCTTTTTCCAAAGTGTGATAAGGTATGTCACATGATTCGAGCAGCGTGCAATTAGATTCCTTCATATATTTATCCCAATCGTCTTTCGCCTCTTCATAAAACGTTTTACGAGAAGTGGTAATGAGAAGGCCACCTTTCTTCAGTACCCTGAATATGTTGGGAAGACAATCCGGGCCACAGTGACCTACAAGGAATACACCACAAGTAATGACACTATCAAAGAACTCTTCTTCATATGGAAGCTCTTTCTTTAAGTCGATCACTTGAAGATCAACATAGCCAGCGTTGCCTTTTTTCGCTTTCACTTCCTCCAGCATCTCAGGAGTGATGTCACCACCATAGAGCTCAACATTATCCATTGGAAATACAGTCCCCATGTATTCACCTACTAGCCCAGTACCACAGCCTGCATCCAGTATCCTATGCTTCCTTCCACTAGCTGCTTGAGCCTGGAGGGACTCAGGGCTGTAATGCTCCATCCATTTGGTAACAATACTCTTGGGAGCAGCCCATTCCATCTTCTCCAACTGTTCATCATAGGTCTTGGCCCAGCCACGATAAGCATCGCTCGATCCATCACCTTTCTCAGTTGCACGAATGGACTGTACAGCTTCTTCCCTGTCTGAAGACATGATTTTCCACTTTAAACTTCCAGCCAGCAGCCACTCCTGCAAAAAGGGTGTGGCTCAAATAATTCACACATTTTGTGTCATGAGTATGAGCATTGTTACAAACAACAAAAGAACAATAAGCCTAAAGCCTAACCAAAATAAACCAAATTATAATAGATAATAATAATAATAATAAATACAAAACACTAGTCTAATTTTTCTTGATAACAAGACTTATTCCTTTTGCCAACGTGTGATAAGGTATGTCACACACTTCCAGTAGAGTGCAATTACACTCCTTTATGTGCTTATCCCAACCCTCTTTTGTCTCTTCATAAAAAACTTTACGAGAAGTGGTAATGAGAAGCCCACCCTTCTTCAATACCCTGAATATGTTGGGAAGACAATCTGGACCACAATGACCAACATAGAATACTCCAGAGCTTACGATACTATCAAAGAACTCTTCTTCATATGGAAGTTCTTTCTTCAAATTGATCACTTGAAGATCAGCATAGCCAGCGTTGCCTTTTTTCGCTTTCACTTCCTCCAGCATCTCAGGAGTGATGTCACCACCATAGAGCTCAACATTATCCATAGGAAATACAGTCCCCATGTATTCACCTACTAGTCCAGTACCACAACCTGCATCCAGTACCCTATGCTTCCTTCCACTGGCCGTTGCTTGAGTCTGGAGGGACTCAGGGCTGTAATGCTCCATCCATTTGGTAACAATACTCTGGGGAGCAGCCCATTCTATTTTTTCTAAATGTTCGTCATAATCTTTTGCAAAGCTACTGTAGGTACTAGGTCCACCGTCCTTTTCACTTGCACGAATTGCCTGTTCAGTAGCAGACATTTTTCAAGAGCCTGATCCGCTTATAGTTCTTAATTGGCTGTGGCTGCATGTCTTGCATGCGGGCATGACAGGAAAAGGCGTGAGAACACTGATTGAATTGAACAATAACTTGCAAAAAGCATTGAATTAGATATAGTCGTTTTCACACAAAAAACTTATAAATATCAAAACAAAAGGTCTTACAAATAAGCCAAAATCAAAAGATCTTATAAATAAGCCAAAATCAAAACTAGATCTTATAATAAGCCAAAGTCAAAAGGTCTTATAAATAAGCCACAATGCAGAATTAAGTATTATAACTATATATATAGCAAAATAAATAAGCATAAAAACCAGTCTAATTTTTCTTGATAACAAGACTTATTCCTTTTGCCAATGTATGATAAGGTATGTCAACTGCTTCCAGCAGTGTGCAATTAGATTCTCTTATGTACTTATCCCAACCCTCTTTTGTCTCTTCGTAGAATGCTTTACGAGAAGTGGTAACAAGGATACCACCCTTCTTCAGTACCCTGAATATGTTGGGAAGGCAATCTGGACCGCAGTGGGCAACGTAAAATACTCCGGAGCTTACGATGCTGTCGAAATACTCTTCTTCGTATGGAAGCTCTTTCTTCAAATTGATGATTTTAAAATCCATGTAGCCTGCGTTTTTCTTCATTTTCGCTTGCTCTATCATCTCAGGAGTGATGTCACCACCATAGAGCTCAACATTATCCATTTGTACTACAGTGCTCATGTATTCACCTACTAGCCCAGTACCACAGCCTGCATCCAGAATCCTATGCTTCCTTCCACTAGCTGCTTGAGCCTGGAGGGACTCAGGGCTGTAATGCTCCATCCATTTAGTAACAATGCTCTGCGGTGCAGCCCATTCTACTTGCTCAAACACTGCTTCGTAACCTGGTGCAAGGTCACGGTAGGTAGTAGGTCCACCATCTTTTTCAGTTGCACGGATTCTGGTCTTGACCTCTTCAAAGGTGAGTGTAGCTGCTGCAGACATCTTGTTCAAATCACTGAGTGACTGAGTCAATAGCACCAAGCTTGCTAGCCTTATACTAAAGATCCTATGGTGTGATAAGAAGCGGCGTGCGCCCAGTGCTGAGTAGAATATGGCCAAGAGTATTCATAAAATAATTTCCCAACAAAAGAAGCAGCGACCTTTGTTTCTGCACATGTTTAGCATGCACACAGCATGCATGACCTAATTAAAATTTTAGCCCTGCCTTATAAGGGTGTGGCTCAATGCACTTATAGCTATAGATTGATTTATAGATAATATTGATTAGTAGTACTATAGTAAAACATAGAATGAATTATAAAATTCAATACCAAAAAATAAGTCATTAGATAAAACTAATTTTTCTTGATAACAAGACTTATTCCTTTTGCCAACGTGTGATAAGGTATGTCACACACTTCCAGTAGAGTGCAATTACATTCCTTTATGTGCTTATCCCAACCCTCTTTTGTCTCTTCATAAAACGCTTTACGAGAACTAGTAACAAGAAGGCCACCCTTCTTCAATACTCTGAATATGTTGGGAAGACAATCTGGGCCACAGTGACCTACAAGGAATACACCACAAGTAATGACACTATCAAAGAATTCTTCTTCATATGGAAGCTCTTTCTTCAAATTGATGATTTTAAAATCCATGTAGCCTGTATTTTTCTTCATTTTCGCTTGCTCTATCATCTCAGGAGTGATGTCACCACCATAGAGCTCAACATTATCCATTGGAAATACAGTCCCCATGTATTCACCTACCAGCCCAGTACCACAGCCTGCATCCAGTATCCTATGCTTCCTTCCACTAGCTGCTTGAGTCTGGAGGGACTCAGGGCTGTATTGCTCCATCCATTTACTGATTATACTTTGAGGACTTTGCAATCCTATTTTTATCATTTGTTCATCATAGTCTTTTGCCCAGCTTTTGTAAGCATCCGGTCCACCATCATTTTCGACAGCATGAAGCTTTTCTGTGACCTCTTCTTCCATTGTTCATTCATAAGAAATTAAGAATATCTGTAATCTGCTCTATCAGATTTCATTGATTATCAAGAGTCCATTATATTTTTCAGGCCGGGTAGCCCCACCCTCATTGGGTGGGGCTCAGTTTGCTGCAAAACAAGTGGGCGTTTCAAACATGGCAGATACTACAAGCAACAGGAACGCACTTGAAATAAAGCTTACAGGAACGAAAAAAGGACTTGGTATAACTATAGTTGGTGGACACAACCCTAACAAGCCAGAAGAAGGCTCTGGCATTTACATTAAGGATATTTTGACTGGTCGTCTGGCACATGAGAATGGTATAGCATTCAGCAACTGCAGACCTATAATCCAAATGTTACTATATATAGGTAAATTAAAAATTGGAGACCAGTTGCTGCAGGCAAATGATGAGAGTTTGGTTGATATATCAAATGAAAGGTATGTAGATTTTAATGCTAAAAGTTGTCAGTACGATCTCTTTCCCAGAGCTGTTGAAATATTAAGATCTTGTGCTGCTACTGACACAATAAGTTTACTTATAGCCCGTGATGAGATTGCACAAACTGAATATCAAAGGCTCTCAGTTCCAAACAAGGCACAATCAGGTATCATTAATGTTATAAGGAAGCATCTTATTGTCATATAATGCATGCATTTTGCAGATGCAGACTATGAGGATAATAGGACTGACCCAGAAACTGGAGGAGATGAGGAGAATGGGTCCCTCACTCCAGTCTCTTATACTAGTGATTCAAGCAGTGAAGAAGAGCAGGTCAGCAAATGAAAAGAAATGAAACAGTATGGTGTAACAACTGATGATATTTAATCTTTTACAGAGGACCAGCGTAGATCCAATGCAGCTTTCATCAAGAAATAGGCCACTCTCTGCCATTTCTGATGTTTCAGGCCCACCTCCTCCTCTACCAAGCTCACCACCACCAGATGATGATGCTAATAACAATACAGTATTATCCGCATATGAGCCAAGACAAGCTGAAATCAATCTCTCAATGGCTGGCAGTGAGGTGGCAGCAATTGCAGCAAGAAGGTATGAAGAGCTTGAGCTAAACATTATAAGAAGCCAAAGCAAAGGCCCGTGCTTGGCCCCAATTTATATTACATTTTCTGATACACCAATACTAGACTATACTGTGCTTATTCTGTAGGAGACCACTTCAAGATGAGAAAGAAGCTGCAGGCTCTACTAGTATTCCAACAGCAACAGTTCATACTGATGTACCTGCTGTAACTGTTAGTAACGTACAACCTGCTTTGTGGACTGAGAGATATATTCCATCACCCGAGGGGACACCCACTAGGGCAATGTTTAGCTTACCTTCTGATGCTCCAGCCACATATATAAAAAGAAATGGTAAAATTAAGATTACAAAAAGTCACTTCAATTACACTTCCATTTTTAGCTTCAGGCCCTAAGATTGAGAACAAGAGAATATCACCACAAGAAATAACCGAGTTAGCTAAGTCAAGGGGCGAAGAAACTGATGACAAAGGGACAAAGAAACGCGGACAACTTTCTGGGCCTGATTACAAAAGACTCTCAGTTGATCCTCGGAATAAGTTTGCCTTCAGTAAACTGATACTGGTAATAATCCTATAGTGCCCTAGAGCACACTTATTATTCAACTCTCGATGCAATATAATTACAGGCATTGAATTATATTGAGGAAAAAGGAATTACATCAGAGCAAGAGGAAAAGATTAGGGACTCTCTTAATGTTGATTCAGATGGCAAGGTACATAAACACTAGCATGCTTAGTCTAATTGTATTATTATCATTTTTCAAGGTTGTTTATGATGAATTTGTTAAAGTTGTTCAACGCCTGTTACCGGCTATCGAATTGGATCGGGTTAAACTTGTCGAGGCACTTCAAAAGAAAATACCAGTGCCAGAATTTGCTCCAAAACCACAGCCAAACTTTCAAACAACTGTAGGACATTGCTATTATATTCTTATATGATTGTTTGGTAGATTATATCCCGTGAAGATCCCAAAGAAGATGCAGGAGCTGTTCCAATGGTTCAAAACATTGCCTATAAACCATTGGCTCACCAAGGTCAGCTATTGGAGAGATTATAATGTGATAAAGTATAGCTAATACTCTTTCTATAAACAGACAGCCAAGTTGTTGAGCAGTTGCGATTAGCTATAGCAAAGAGAGACAGTGCTATGAAAGAAGTTGAGCATCTCAAAGTATGTCAGTAGATGGAGTGCAATAAAAAGTAATAAAAATGATTCTTTTAACAGGCAAAACTGAAACAAGAGACAATTGAGAAAGAGAGAGCAATGGCAGCCAATGCTAGATGGAATGAGGAGAGAGAGACACTTAGAGTAAATTAATTAATGTAATTATGAAGCATAATGACTTATGGATTATATCTCTAGGACCGGTTGTCAGATAAGGAGAAAGAAATAGAGAGTCTGGCAAAGAAAGTGAGAGAGCAAAAAACAGTAAGTGAATTTGTAAAATTATTTATAAATTTATTTCAATGTCTACTCTTTATTTTAAACAGAAGATTGAGAAACTGGTAAGTTGATTTATTTTAGGGAGAACTTGCATGGCTTCATGAACATGTACATACTAATGAGTGGACATTACCAATTTACAATCAATGGATCTAAAATTCAAATTATAGAATATATATATATACATATATATATTATATTTTAATCATTTTTTTGTAGACTACTAGTGACAATTGTAAGAAAATAGCCTCGCAGGATTGCGAGTTGAGGAAAAAGAATGACACACTTAGAAGATATCAAGTAGCTACAGAGCAGCTCTCCCAGTTTTTGGAAGTAAGAAAACACATCCTTTTTTTATGTTACTATGCCTTCTGCCATATAGAAATGCCAAGAAGTACTTGCTAACTCTGACACAGAGCAAATAGTGTAAGACAATATTCTTGAATACTTTTAGAAGTTTATATAGCACACTAGTTTCTACTAATATTGAATTTTCGTTTTTTAATTTTCTTAAGGTATCATCCACAAGGAAGAGGCGACTTTGTTACTAGGGGAGATCCCATCACAGGGAATCCCCGCCCACCTCCTTTCGTTTCGAAAAATGCTCGTAAATCCGCCAACACTCTAGCACAAGAAGCCAAAGAAACTATGCTGGCAGTTAAACGCATACTAAGTGCTGGAGGTAACCATTATATTAATTTTTAAAATAATAACGTATAGTGGGAAATTTTTGCGGCCCAAAATTTTTGTGGATTTTGCATTTTTTCAAAATTTATGAAAATAAAATTCGCGAAAATCAATTTAATACAGTTCAAGATGGCCAAAAATTATAAAAAATTAAAGCCATGAAATTGATTTTTAGACAAATCCGCAAAAATTTTGTGCACTAAAACTTCCCACTCTACAGTAGTTTACTTATATTTAATTAAAATTATACTTAATTTAATTAGAAAGCAAAATTCAGTTTATACTTTTACTTTGTAACAGTAGAGTTGCCAGAAGGCTGGGAAGTGGCATATACAGCAGACGGGGAGAAATACTACATTAAGTAAGGACAATATACCACACACTGAGAGTTATACAGATACAAATTTTATTCATTGCACATTTTAATTTTTCCCCTTATAGCCACGGGAACCGAAAAACAAGTTGGGAACATCCTGAAACAAGGTTATCCACAGGAGGAGGAGGAGGAGGAGGAGGTGATCAAAATGCAAAGACGAAACCATACTCTAAAGCAGTGAAACAACGCTAGAGCAGCTAACAACTAACACACACCATACAGACTGTATTAAGTATACTCTTAAGTTCTATTATAATTATATTAGAGACTATCTTGTTGGTGATATTTTTTAACATACAACTTTGTATAATGTATTGGTCGTAAAAATAATAATGTATTTGTTCATAGTACCTGGAAGAAGTCATTTTATATATTATATATTTTTTCGTGAGTACTTCTTTTTTTTGTCTCTGCTATAAGTCACAGTCCCAGTTTTCAATGTTTTTTATATAGCCTAATAAATCATCAATTAGTTGATGGACCACACCCATTAACATACTTTTAATGATTGATTCTTTGTCGGGAACTTTTAATAACGCTGTCTGAAAGCAATCCCTCGCCTGAAGAAAAATGAAGATATCATTAATATAATTTATACGCTTCATGAAGACCTCATTATTTCTTCCAATGTTAACAAATGACTTTCCTTTATAAAGATAAGCCTTAAGGCACTTATCATTGAACTACCAAAAAATAATCAATGTAATACAACTTTTCTTGACTTACTTTTAAAGCTGCATCGCAGTCTTTTATGACGTCATCGTATCTTTCTAATTTTAAATAAACCTGAGAAAAAAAACAATAAATAAATAAATGAATAAAATAAATAAATGAATAAATAAATAAATGAATAAATAAATAAATGAATAAATAAATAAATAAGTAAATGAATAAATAAATAGATAAATAAATGAATGAATAAATAAATAAACAAATGAATAAATAAATAAATAAATGAATAAATAAATAAATAAATAAATGTATTATTATAATATCAACACCTATACTAGTTTAGATACTTTACATGTGCATGTGCACAAGTAAAGTATGAAATATTATAAAATATTTAAAAATATTATATATGCAATAATAATAATAACAATAATAATAAATAATAATAATAATAATAATAATAATAATAATAATATATCTTACACTAGCTTAGAAACTAGTTAACTTGTATTTATAGATTGTACAAAAAACTGTATAAATATGCTTACTAAAGCTCTGTTAGTGTAAAGGGTAGTGTCACCAGGGAGCTGCTCTATTGCGTCACTATAACACGTCAAAGCCTTTTGGTACTGTTCGTCTCGAAACGCTTCATTCCCTTGACACTTGAGCACTTTGCCAAGCTGGAGTCGCTTCTCTCTTCTCTCCGCTCTCTCTTGAGCATCCTCTTCTAGTGCACGACAAAATGCTACAAGAGAAGGAAAGAGAGAGAGAGATTATATAAGAATTATATGTAGAAAAATTAACTTGGACAGTTATAAATTTAAAATTTGAAGTTGGAATCAGCTCAAACTTTCTACACAGCATAAGGGCATCAATATGTATCAAAAAATTTAATAAAAATTGGGGGTGATTTCGGAGTAATTTTTTGGAAAAAACCATGGGCTATAGCCTTGGGTATTTTTCGGATTTTTGACATTTTCTTAAAATGGCTGTAACTTGAAAAATTGAAGTCGGAATCAGCTCAAACTTTCTACACAGCATAAGAACATCAATATGTATCAGAAAATGTAATAAAAATTGGGGGTGATTTCGGAGTCGATTTTTGAAAAAAACCATGGGCTATAGCCTTGGGTAATTTTCAAAATTTTGGCATTTTCTTAAAATGGCCATAACTCAAAAAATTGAAGTCAGAATCAGCTCAAACTTTCTACATACCATAAGGGCATCAATATGTATCAGAAAATGTAATAAAAATTGGGGGTGATTTCAGAGTCAATTTTTGGAAAAAACCATGGGCTATAGCCTTGAGTAATTTTCAAAATTTTGGCATTTTCTTAAAATGGCCATAACTCAAAAAATTGAAGTCGGAATTGGCTCAAACTTTCTACATAGCATAAGGGCATCAATATGTATCAGAAAATATAATAAAAATTGAAAGTAATTTTGGAGCCATTTTTCGGAAAAAAACCATGGGCTATAGTACATGGCAATTTTCAAAAAATGGCACATTTCAATAAAATGGCCATAACTTGAAAAACTACAGTCAGAATTGGCTCAAAATTTCTACATTAATAGTAATAAATTTAAACTGAGACAAAAGCTACCAAGATGGCCATGTGCAGAAACTACTTGCAGGAAGTTAGAGACAATTCCTGATTCACACTACTTTAGCACTTTAAGTCAACAAAATGCTGGATGACTGCAATATACCTTCATGTTCCGAATTAAAAGATTGATTTGCAAGAGGTGAGGAAGACGAAGTACCATTAGAGACAGAACTATTAGTTATAGGTGGATTTGGAGTTACACCTGGATTGATGACTGTCCTATTAAATCCAACCACTCCATTAGAATCCTTGTCAGAAGAAGAAGAAGAAGAAGTGCTTCCTCCTCTTGCTCTCCCGTCTTTTGTCAAATACTCGTCAGCATTTTGAAGTGCACTGGTAATGGAGTCCTGGTCCCTTGATGTAGCTATGTCACGAACAAGTCCTTCTATGGAAAGCAAAATTTTGCTTTGGTACATTAAAGACTTACCTACTTGGTTCACTCGGGAGAGAAAGTCATCCAAATCTTCCCTTTCAGCTTTGTCTGCCATCTTTATGGTTTGTTTTCCGCCCCCCTAGGCGTTTATTAATGATTATTGATTAATAATGAATCACAGAAATTATTATTCTACAAAATGAATGCATCGTTTGGCAAAATTTAAACTAAAAATTCAAAGTTTAATTGTAATTAGTCGAAACATCATTGTTATTAATTATTATTGTTATAAATAAATGCGGAGGCAGAGCATGAGCTGCTGACATTCGTGCTTCCATCCACAGTCCCATATTTATCAAAATATTCCTCAATTTGCTGTCGATACTCATCTGGTATGTTTCTAGTACGAAACTGATAGCGAGAAGAAAACCTAACGTAGAGAAAAACAAACAAGAAACAGAGAACTGCCTTAGTCATGTTATAATAGAATATGCAGCTGGGATAAGAAGTTGGTGACATTGGTTTAAATGCAAGGTAAATGTTAATGGAGAATAACCTTACTGCACTATAAAAGAAGAACCACAGACCTACCATGACTCCTTTCATCTGCTCGGGCGCTTGAGCTATTAAGAACTCGACAGAGAATGTTGCAGCAAAGACCTCTCCAAAGGCTCTCAGAAAGATAGCGGGTAGTCCCCAATAGAAACCTAAATTAACATCATTTCTTTCAGTATAATTGCCATTTCCAAGTAAGCACATGTCATGTTTATATTTGTTAGTGCTTTGGGCTGTAAGGTCCAATAGGCATAAGTATAATAAACTTATAGCGGTTAGCATTAGGCCAAAACCAATCCTTTTCAATACACTAGGGATGTATTTGTGAAACAATGGAAACAGCACTGTGTGATACATTGTCAGGAAAATTATTGTGAAAATGGAATAATAGATGGCACTGTCTTCTGCGATTGATAGTACTATTCTGTTGAAGTTAGTCATTTTTATATTCGGCTGTAGCAATTTTTTTGAGTAATTGAACGGATTTGATTGCAAGCCGAATGCAACTGACAGGAATATGAATAGCAACAGGCGCAAGGTCGTCTTCACGTCTTCCACCTGTTCTTCTGAGAAAGGCCCTCCAAAAATTTTCTTCCCATACTCAATGCGTGAATGAATTCTATTTGAACAGAAAACAAAAGCACTAGGTTTCCTTGGTTGCTTATTTTTCACTGTATAGACAATAACTTTAAATATTAATTTGATGGGGTTGGTAACCTTTGGCGTGACATCTAGCCACTTTTTAAGAGTGAAGCAGCTAATGAGAACAATTACTGTACACACCAAATGGACCAGTAGCGTCCCAAACGTAAGATAGCGACTACTAACTACCAGAGATGAAATCTGGACTATGTTGTTAATGCCAGCACATATTGCACTGAGCCAAAAATGCCAATGAATAAGTGCACTCAACTTATCACCAGATGCTCCTAAAATTTGATCCGTAAGGAAAGGAATGACATTTGCATCAAAGCAAGCAAAGCCACACACGTTCAATAGCACGCCCAAGGCAAGGAGGACAGCAGCAATTAGCTTAAAGGAGAAAGGATGTGACACGTGGTAGGTTACTATGTGAGAGCTGTAACCAAAGACAATGCAAAGTCCTGCAGCAAAAATACACATTATGCTATACTTAAGAGCCCTATATCTTCCTATCCTTGCATCAGCTACCCAGCCCATTACTGGATAAAGAACAAACAGGGTTGTGTAGATGATGCTGCTTACGTATTTGGGCAAATGAGCCTTCTTCCTCAAAGCATTGATGGATAAACCCAGGAGGTGAATAGACATAGAAATTGGAATGACACAATGAAGCAAAAAGGTCCACATCAGGACAATAAGTGCCCCCTTTGATTTGATAACAAACTGAATACGATAAGGGTTTCCACAGCAAGTAAGACAAGACTTAGAGGCATCTTTAGACTTTGTGTCCATTGATTTAAGAGCCTCTTCATTTCTATCAAGGAGGTAATCCCTTTCAGTCGACTCGTCATGGAGCAATAGATCATCAATTCTTGCTGCCATTGTCTTTCTATTAAACACTTCAAATACACAATGAACAACAAAAATAGCTGTTTTGTTATACTGATACACTGAGTCTACTGATGCATGCATAAATATACTTTCAATGTTTATCTTAGCAGTGAAATTGAAAATTGATATCAATTATGAGTTTGTTTCTCATGGGAGAAGCATACCGTGCATGCATAAACAAGTCCCTAATTATAAAATAATAGCAATAAAATCTAATTATAACAGTTTTTTAATCACAACTAGAGCATGACGAACTAGTGTCACTGCGGTCGGCATCACGAATCATGGAGGAGTCATATGAGACCCCATCACCCGACACAGAATTGATACTCAAGTACTTGTTGTAGTGATTCTCGGCTAAAATGTTAAAGTTGATCGGAACGTTACGGGTACGAAGCTTGTACTTGTAAGCCAGCCCCAAGAACAGAGCAAATGTTAGAAAACTAATGAGAGTTTTAGTCGCATAGTAATAGAAGGTACAGGAAAAGACTGAAATCAATGGAATGTATTTAAATGGTATGTATATGTAAAGGCTTATGGTTTGTATAATACCGTAGGACGCAAACCAAAGTCCCACCATTAGACCTTTCATTGGACCAGGGGTTTGAGCTATTATAAATTCAAAAGCGAAAGGAACAATAAATGTCTGGGCAAGACCATTTATTGTAACAGCAGGTAGTGCCCAGTAGTACTCCAATTGTAGGCGGCTCCCCTCTGATGTAATGTTTTGTAGCAAGCACAGCTCAGTGTTATTGGTCTTAGCAGTAGCTATTGGGTCTAGTATTGTGGTGTAGAGCAAGTAAAGGGTTGAGAGGAACAGGCCAAGTCCAATCCATTTCAATACGCTGGGTATATAATTATATAAAATAGGATAGACGAGAAAGTGGAAGACTGCAATGAAAATTAATAAAAAGAATGCATTTTGAATGCCATTGTTTTCAACCAGGTCAAATGCTATGCTTCCTACTTTGTTATCAATGTTTGGTTGTTGAAGCTCCTTTATGAAAGTTATAGGAGCAAGCATCAACCCATAGGTACCAGACAGAAATACGAGAGGCAGTAACCGAAGACTAGTTTTCACATCTTCTACTTCTTCCTCTGAAAATGGCCCACCATATTTCTCTTTTCCCAGATCAATACGAGACGGGGTAACTTCCTCCCAGTAAGTCAGGGCACTCCGATTTCGAGCGTATTTGTTTTTGCATGCATAACGAAGGACTTTGATAATCAGTTTGATTGGGTTAGTTATCAGTGGTGTGGTATCAAGCCATTTTCTCAATCCAATACAAGCTATGAGGACAATTGATGTACAGATGCAATGGACCACTAGTGTACCAAGTGTAACATGTTGATTGTCAATTGAGATACTGTGCAAACTAATATTCACGATTTCAGCCAAAGCACTAACCCAGAAGTACCAGTGTACGAGTGCGCTCAGTGACTCTCCCGAAGCACCTAGTACCTGGTCCGTTAAAAACGGGATGACATTAGCATCGAAACTTGCGAAGCCACCAACATTGAATAAGACACCAACACCAAGGAGGATTGTCACTATGGCCCTGACGAAGGCGTGGGAATCGCCAGCAAAAATGTGAATGAGATAGCCGACGATCATCAACACTGAAGCAATGAATATACTTACTATGCTACCCACTATGGCCTTGTAGCGACCAATTTTAGCATCAGCCAACCATCCCATAAAGGGATAGAGAATGAAGAGCATCCTGTACAGGGCTTCACCAGGCAGCCATGCCTGTACTGCTGATGAATTTTGTGAATTTAATGAGAGTCTTAGGAGATGAACAGAAGTGTCAAATGGTATTGCCATATGGAGAAGCAGGCCCCATAAAAGTACAGCCATAGCTCCTTTGGATCTTATGCACTGAATGCGATAGTTGTGACCACAGCAAGTTGTGTTACTGGCATCATCTGGTCTGGAGAGGGCCACTGAATGGACTAGTATAGTAGAGTTCTGGATTGGGGAGTTATTTTGAGCTGTTGCTGATGGAGCAAGAAGAGAAGTTGTTTCAAACCTGGCAGCCATTACAGAAAGAAAGAGAGAGAGAGAGGGCTTGAATGAATGTTGAAAGTGAATGCGCATGGTAAGTTTTGTATATTGCCCAACTGTATTGATGGGTAATATGTGATACTAAAAGGTAAACATTTCATCTTGAAAGTAAAACATTACTTCAATGATATTAGCAATAACATTAGCATTAAGTTGTCTAAACGCTCGTCCCATTTGTGAATATCATCAAGAGTATCATGCATGCCATGTTAATCCCATAGCACAGCTTGATTTTAACCCTTAAAAGACAGGTCACAAATTTGTGCAATGCCATGGAGACAGCTATAGCTGTCACATATTTGTGACGCAATGTGACACAATACTGTGACAGCTGTCTCCAAGACTTAAAGCCAGGCATACACTAGGCAACATGTTGCTGGCAACATTTGTGGTTACTTTGATCTTGTAAGCAACATGTTGCCAGAAATAGAAAGATGTCCTATTTTTGGCAACATGTTGCTTGGTTGCTAGCAACAAGTTGCCTCATGTATGAAGGCCTTTCTATTTCTGGCATACACTAGGCAACATGTTGCTGGCAACA